CATAAACTTCTCCTACCCGATTTTGCATCTCAATTTTCGCCTTCACCGTCCCTCGCGCTGCTTAGTCGAGTCGTAAGGGATGGAAGGCGTTGAGTGTTTGAGCGTTTGGAGTCAAAACAATTGGTTAAAAAAATATCTTTTTTCTCTTTTTCCCCTTCCTCGCTCCTCCCCAGTTCGATGAAAGCGAGACGGTGGCTCGAGCACTGCGATTGCGTATGATTAAGATAATCTGCGATGAGCTGGCGCTCTCTCACTTTGCAATGGGCTTTGTGCTGTACTTCAGCACTGGGAAGAACTTTCGTGACGGTGTGCATCGTCTCTTCATTCGTTGTGGCATCTGTGGCAGAGACAAGACCACGGACACCACTCGCAACAGTATGAGTAGTGAGGTGGGCAGAAGCAGTGTCTCCACTCGATTGACTCGAGAGAAGAAAATTCTCATCACCACATTGGCTAATCACCAACAGGAGGGCAAACTTCTAGCACTGCGTCGAGGACTGCACTACTTTAAGCGCGGTCGAAAGAACTCCGACTTTCCCGGACTGGATCAATGCGGTCGTCGGGGTGAGCGACAACCCTCCAAGTTGCCATTAACATCAAAAAACAATGCCAATGGTGATTTTCCGTCTCCTGTTTGATTCGCGTCTCTGTCCCCTCTCCTCCCCTCCCCTCTTCCCCCTCCTTCGTCACTGGCAACCTCCTTCAACACCCACCTACAGTAGGGCAAACTCTTTCCTATCCACATGTAAATATCATCGTGTTGTGTCTTGCTTGTTGAGATGACCAAACCCAGAAGGTAAGAAGAAAGTGTACCATTAATGTTATGTCAAGAAACTAACCTCTGTACACATTGCATGTCTTATGATGACACTTTTCTCTCCTTCAGATCTTCAACTTAGTAAAATAACTGTTTGGTGAGGCAATTTGAATGCTGAAGTTGTTGGTGAATTGATGTAGTTGAGGTGGAATTGTTTTTCCCCTTCAGCCGTAGCAACATTTTCACCAAGTACTTTTCCATAAGGAAAGGAAATGTTCCTTACGTAAATTTATTATTGCTTGAAAGTGCACTGTAGCCTGGTGGAGAAATGCATAAAATACTGTAATGTTGATTTTCTGAAAGTGGCGTTGAGAGGAGTGCGGCGACTTGAGTCAGGAGTCAAAGTGGCAATGAGGAGGTCTCCATCGAACTGACATTTGCCCCTTAAAATCGATCACGTGAGGTGAGGAGGGTTGAGAAAGCATGGCTTGGATCGAGAAATCGCACGAAACGGGTCTGAAGATGTCCAACCCACATGGAACAATTGAGACCGATCGTCTCTCAATAATGCCATGGCTAAGGTGT